AAATTCTTCTGTAATTCAGAGGAGAGGTTCTGGATGCAGCCAGCGCGCATTAGGCAGCCAAATTTGGTCAAAGCTAAAAATAGCCATAGGAACACGAGGGCAATGATTTCTGAAATAAAGCGAAGGGCCCTTCTTTTCTACCCATGGATTCGCTCTCTGCTCTCCACCTCAGCTTTATCTTCCATGTCCTTCGATCGATCACCGATCCTAGCCCATCAAAAAGCTGCCTTTCCTCCCTAAATTCGTCTTGTTCATCCTTTTCTTCTTCTCCTGGTTGCTTCGCGGTGAAAGCTCTCGCCTTTCTTCCTGACTTAGTTTCTGTGATTACGAAATGGCGCAGCAAGAACACCGTATTTCTGATGGCGAAGAGGAAGCAACGTTTCTTTCGCCTGGCCATCAGCCAAACATGACCGTCCCTTTCCTCCCAGAGTTTGATCCCACTTCCCAGTTCGGGCGTATTGCTGAAAACTCATCCATGTCGCCGTATCAGTTAGAGGATTTAAACCCACTGGCTTCCAGCGACGGCCCAATGCCATTGTTGTCGAGCCCTTTGCAGAGCGATGCTTCCACTAGCTTTGACTCGCTGCCTTCTCTCGTCGCATCCGAGGTGAAGCAAACGCCATTGAGGCCGGAACTGATGTTGCCGTTGCAGAAACCTGAGCTTCAGCCTCAGATAAACCAGGTCTCCGTGGCTTGTTCAATTGCTTCGATTATTTTTGTTTTTCACTATTGAGCACCAACTGCTTGTTGAAATGCCTCTGAAATTACTTGCTGTCTTCTCAGGTGGTGAAATCTTCGCCATTTGATCTATTTCCTGAAGCTGGCCTTCAGATGGAAATGGAGCTCCCTTCAAACCAAAGCCATCATGGCATTATGAATCCCTTGCTCAGGGCAGATCAGCAGATTACGATGGATCAGGTTTTCTTCAATTTATTATTAATTTCTCTGTGTTAAATTCTCTTGTTTTATTCACTATTTCTTACAAGCCCTGGACATTTAGTTTGTTGGCATGAATCATCTATCATCCTTTCAAATTGATCCGGACCGAAATCAAATAGTCATCTTTACTACAGAATCCACTCAAATTTCTCGTTCAAATTGTGGCACATTTGTGATCAATGAATCTCAAGGGGAAAACACTGATTGTTCATCGTAAGTTTGATTCAAAATTTAGTTTTTCTTTGTTTTTT